TTATAAAAATAAGCTGGCTAATTAAATTTTTAGGCGCGCCTGCGATCCATAAACACTCCACAAACGAGCGTTTAACAAAAACTTAAATATATAAAACATCTTCATGCTTACAATAATTGTTTTAATCATTACAATAATGACTATTTCTTGATATTAAATTCAGCCTCCAATAAATTTAAGCGTAAGAATAAGGAAAGTTTGTTCATTGGACGAAAAATCTTTTTATGAACAAACAGTTAAATAGTTATAAGATATCACTTTCACATAATAGTTACTATTTTATTAGTTATTAACCTTTTGTTAAATAAGTTAATTTTTTTATTGCATTTTTTTGTTATTGTTTATTTTGTCATGAATAATAAAAAATTGTAATTTAATTTCCTTACTGCTGTACCAACTGATGGAGCTGTTGAAAAAACTTAGGTAAGTGTTATTACTGTGTCAGTATGTAGGTGTATACAAAATGCCTTTGTTGAACTTTTATGAAATACTTAATCCTTCCCCATCAGCTTTAGGTGGGATAAATATTTATAGCGTTAAACTAAGCAAAATTAAATTTTGTTAATAACACAAATAATATATTATATTAAAAATAATTTAATAATAAAAAAGTAATAGTTTCTTTTTATTTTTACTCTGTTTTAACTTTACTTTACTTACAGGATGACTAATTATTTATATTCCAATTCTACAAAAAGGCGAAAAATAAATGCTGTTGTGAATAAAGTATTTTCTAATGCTGTTTGTAGGAATAATTCTGTGTATGATTCTACTTTACTTTGCTCAAGTAAAAGTGATGAGAATAATTTTTCAGAAATTTCAAATAACTTTAGTGCTAATGATGTTTCTAACAAAAAACATAGTTCTTCCAATAATAGTAAAGATAAGCGTCTTAGTAAAAAGATAAAAAGCTGCGATTGTGATTTAATTTAAACTGATATATGCTTATATGATGCAGATGCTAAATTTAGTGATGAATTTATTCACAATTGTGAGTTTGACGATTACCAAGATAGTACATTTAGTTCAGTAAGCATTATAAAGATAACATTACAGATTCAATTGTTAATACTGATTGTTTTCGTGATCAGTTAAAAACATGGGCTTTTTTTTTTATAATATATTTATAATATATAATACATTTCACATAATGCATGTACAGATTTACTTTCATTGTTGAGCCAATCACATCCTGGTTTGCCGAAGGATGCAAGAACTTTGTTGCAAACCGAAAGAAACATTAGGATACAAAATATTGCAGGTAAAGAATATTTCTATTTTGAATTGAAACATTGGCTTTCAATTTTAATCGAAAGGTATCCTATTAAAGCTGAAGTTAATAGTTTGTATCTGCATGTTAACATTGATGGAGTACCAATATTTAATAACTCAACTGACAGTTTGCGGCCTATTCTTTGTTTTGTTCAAGATGTAGAATGGTATCCTTTTCCAATTGGACTATATTTTGGTAAAACCAAGCCTAACTCGTTGCACGATTATTTAATAGACTTTGTTGCTCAAATAAAAACATTAGAGTTGACAGGTTTTGTTTGTGTGAACACTGGAAAAAACTATTTAATAAAATTGGATGCTTTCATTTTTGATGCACCCGTGAGAGCATTTGTAAAGTGCATTAAACCACACAATGCATATAACTCTTGCGAACGTTGCTTTCAAACAGGAGAGTGATTAGGTAAAGTTGTTATGCCCAATTTAGCCGCTCCTTTAAGATCAGACATTAATTTTAAAAACAACAGAGAAAAAAATCATCTTGATGGTACGCATAATTCGCCTATTGAGGAATTAAATATTGGTGTAGTTAGCGGGTTTTTAATTGATAGCATGCATTCAGTATTTTTAGGAACAGTTCGAAGGTATATAAACTAATTAGTTCATGGTAGATCTGAGCATAAGTTATCAAGATCGACATTTGATTCTAATCTGAAAAACTTGCTATTCTACAAGCTTATATTCGTAGAGAGTTTTCACAAAAGCCTCGATCTCTTTTAGAGTTCAAGCAATGGAAAACTACAGAATTGAGAGAGTTTTTGTTATACACTGGTCCTGTTGTTTTAAAAGGTATTCTTTTTAGTTCTGTATATTCCAATTTTTTGTGTCTCTCTGTAGCTATTCGCATTTTTAAGGCTCAATCATTGTGTAACATCCAGGCTTGTGGAGCCGAGCCGGAGCTGGAGCCGTGGAGCTGGGAAGCCGCTGTTTTTTGGTGGAGCCGGAGCCGGAGCCGGAGCCGGAGCCGCAAAAATTGAGCGGCTCTCGGCTCTCGTGTTTTTTAATGGAATAGAATGTATGTTTATTTTTTTACTTTAGACAAACTTTATTCATTTATTGTTAAACTAATTTGTTGAATAAATCATCGATTGAACTTCTATTTTTTGAAAATATTTTTTTCTAACAGTTACGGTCTTGCCAAAACGTAATAAAAATGAATATTTTAACAATTTTGTGCTCAACAAAATACTGTCCTTTAATAAAATTTCTTAATATTCTTTATTAAAAAAAAATGTAAATTATAAAAGGGAACATTACAGTGATGCACATTTTGCTTTATATTATATTTTTATACTGATACTATGCTGTTATATATTTAATGCGCGATTTAATGATCAAAGGTTATTGATATCTTTAAAATTAAAATAAAGCATGCGATCGTTTTATTTGGAGCGATAAATTTCGTTTAAAACTTGTCACTAACACATTGTTAAATTATTTTTTTCGCGTAATTACATAAATTAATTATGGTATTAATTAAAAACATCAACAAACGAATCAAAATGTTTCTCTTAATTAAAATGTCATTGATACATTTAGAAAAACGAAAAAAATTCTGCACAACTATTTACAAAGTCCTTCTACATTGTTAATTTCAATTGCTAAGGCATCTGAATCTAGCCAAACTACTGTTTGCATTGTCATAAAACAATACAAGAGCTCTCTATCTATCGAACAAGCAAAAGGATCTGGTTGAAAGAGTAGCTTTAAGGATAAGAAAACCGCAATTAGTATTCGACGATCATTCACGCAAAACCCTGGCTTTTTAAACAAAGTGCAAGCCTAATGATGTCAAGTTTCAGAGTTTTTTAAAGATTAAAATTTGGCAAGCAATATGTAGCTGCGGTTTGAAATCTCGAGCTTTTGTTACTGTCAATTATAAACTTGGATGTTTACATCAAAGAATACTTGCAAGCTAGACTTTTGGAATTTTATTGAAGTCACGATGTCCCTTGTTGGTTCTGGCCTATTCTTGCTTCTTGTGATTATTCTAAGAAGAGTGACATCAAATTCATTCCAAAAATCAATTTGCAATTGATTTTTGGAATGAATTTGGAATGCAAATCCATCAATATGCACACAATTCCGTCCCATTGAGAAGTTGATGTCGTTAATAAGCGTAAATGTTGGCTTATTTATTTGAAATAATAAAAATACTAAAGTAAAAAGCGCTTTTATAATCTTTAAGTTCCTTAGATTAAAATAAATATTTTTTTTAGTTTTTACATTAGTTAAACTATTTTTCATTTTTTTTGAATTTTTTATCGTTTTTTAATTTAACGATGAGGGGACTTAAGAAAGACGTCTTTTAAACGTCTTTTGAACGTTTGAGATGCCTTTTTGAACGTTTTGGACGTCTTTAGGGCGTTCAAAAAACGTCTTTTTTAAGTACTGTGTCCCCTGGGTAGAATTAAAACTAAAATTTGAAACAAAAACTTTAGTTTTAGGTAAATAATGTATAGAAAAAAGTGTTTATTTACCCAAAAAAAATTTCTTTTTAAATGTTATATCCTGTAGTAGTAATACAATAACCTTGTAATCATGAGAGTTGGTTAAAAATTAATTGCTGGAATTGGTACAGTTTTGGGTTGGCAAATGTGATTAATAAAAATATTTTAAAACTTTAAAATCTGCATTTGTTCAAAATAAATCAAAAAAGCAATTTTTGTTCATAAAGTTAAGGAGCCGGAGCCAAACCAGGAGCCGAGCCGTAGCCGGGTATTTCTTAGGAGCCGGAGGCGGAGTTGAGCCGTCAAAAAAACAGTGGCCCCACAAGCCTGGTAACAACCACTACTTTGTTTATGTAGAAAACTTATTAAAGTATACAATTTTTGCTTATTATTTGGAAAAGATCGTTTAGAATATTCATTCATTGATACACTTGATGATGATGCTAGGCGATTTGGTGTGTTACATAATATTTCTTGTTTTCCTTTCTAAAGCTATTTGGGAAGATTAAAAAAGTTAGTTCGTCAACCTAAATCACCTTGTTCACAAACTGTGTAACGAATTTTGGAAGGTCATTTGCAACAAACTAAAATCTGCAGTAGTATATCATCTAAATTTCGAAGAAAACACTTGTTAGCTCCACAACCATTGTCATTATGTCACTACATTCAATACGATCAATATTTTGGACCACAGATTCTGGTTACTCTTGCAACTGCTGACAATTGCTTTGTTGTTAATGATAAATTTATTTTAGTCAAAAATATTTTAACTGATGTATTCTGCACAGAGGCTAATGCTCGTGTTGTCTGCCGAGAGTTTCAGCGTAAGCAATCATTTTTTATGGATCCTTTTGATTCAACAAACTTATCCATATACTATGTGGAAAATGTGTCATTTAATACAACAACAAATTTTAAAAGAACTAAGTATTAAGTATTTTAAACTTCCATTTAAAAATGGCTTTGTAGTTATTCCAGAAATACATTTTTGATAGTATATCAAATAACTTGTTACAAAAAATACAATTATTTTACTATTTTATAATATTTTGATAAGCTAAAAAATTTTTTGAATTCGAAATAATATTAATACATTAATTTTAAAATAATATTTTAAAGTTATGACTTTTTCATTATTAGGTAATCAATTATACGATTATTTATTTATTTTTTTAAGTTGATTAAGGTGCCCCAAGAAGTCCTGAAGGTCTTATCACAGAGCACCGCGGAAGAGCATTTAATAGGAAATTCATGCCTCCTTCCCAACCGATGTCGCAAAACTTGTTCACAGGTGTGGTTTGAACCACGGATCTTACGTTTCTGAGGCAAGTCAGCGTTATTATGCTATTAGAACACTGATCTTACGTTTCTGAGGCAAGTCAGGGTTATTATCAGTTTTCTATTAGCATAATAATGCTAATAATACACTGATACTCTGTAATTGATTTATCATAAATAGTTTTATGACTTATGAGAAACATAATATACTTACATGTATATTGAATAAGTACTTATTGTGTGTAATGAATAAATTACTCAAATCAGATAAACATTATAAGGGGGGCTAGTCACCGTGGTGACGTGTTGCCCAAAAGAATACAGCTGCAATCAATAAGGATCTAAAATCAGTATTTTTCCTTTGTACTTTATGGAATAAAATCTATAACCATATATAATTTATTTTTAAATTAGTCTTAATTTTATTTTTGTGTTACAGTACAATTATGTATGCCATAGTTTTATTTATTGAAACTAATACCACTGATTATGTGTTACTAACTTCGATAAGTGAAGTTAAAGACAACTCACTTCCATCCGTTATTGAAAATAAAGTGTCTGTTAAAAGGTTATTGGCTAAATGGAAAAAATTTAAGTCCAACAGGTATTGCAAAGGCTAAAAACTGTCTAATGGATCCAGATGTGCATTTATTTACTGCGAGAATACTCGGAAGTAAAGCCAGATGAGCATTTTTTTACTGCTAGAATACTCGGAATTGCAGGTAATTTATGCTTTTATAATCATATTTTGTTTATACTTTATTGCAAAAAATAATGCAGCTACTATCCAGGTACATCTTCTGTGTTAAATGTTATTTGAAATAATGTTGCTATGTTTTGCTTTTCAATTTCTTTACAGACAGTCTTATTGAGGCACGGTAAAAGGCTAAAAGAGCTGAGGACACATCCAACCTGGATATAACAGAAGAAAATGCATTGAAATCTGTAAGACGGTAACTTTAATTATGGAATTTTATAATTTAATAAAAAATTATTTATCTTTGTATGTGCTTAAGTATTTGTAAAACTTTTATATGTAAAATGATTAGTTCCTCTGAGAAATAGAAAAAAAATACAATTAGATTTTACAAAGGTGTTATCTAATTTTATAAAGAATTTGTTGCTTTACAAAGTTTTTATCTTTTATTATTACTGTATTCTAAATAAGGCATAATGATGTTAACTATCCTAATATTTGTTTATTTTATAAAGAAAAAAAAATTCGGCACAAAAAAATAAAAACTGATGCTTTATGTGTTACTCAAACCTCCTCCACCTTTCATTAGCAAAGAGCCTCAGAGTTTACTGAATCTGAAAGTAACATTGAGCTTGTTAACACTAAGTAATAATTTTTTTTGGGCTTTTATATTGGTCCTATGATTATGTAAAATATTTTACTTGTTCATGTGTTGAATACGTCTACTTATTGTATATACATTTATATTTCATGTATATAATATATTAACCTTAATATATTAATCTACTGTTGTATTACAATGTATTATACATAACTTCTCTTGCAGTTGTGAAAGTGATGTTGAATTGAGCCATTGTGAATCTGATGGTTTGCCAGCAGCAACGCTAGACTTCAAAAAAAAAGGAGTAGTTATACAATTATCTAATAAATGACTGTATTTAATGTTTTTATTTATTGTTAACTTGTGTAAAGTTATACCATTGATTTAATTATTTTATTGAGCTCATCGCTTTTTTTTGTAGATAGTTCAATAATTAAATATCCACTATCCAAAAGCATATTGATGGAATCTGCATTTGTTCAAAATAAATCATCACCAGTTCAAATAAATAACCATAAATTGTTAGCAGTTATTTGGAAAATTGCATGATGCTAATGTTTCAACTCCAATAAAGGACTCCAGATTCGTCTCCATATAATAATTATATGTAATTAATAATAATTATGTAAGTTGCAAATTATGCCCTAGGGCCCTGCAAATCAATTCCATTCGCAAATCAAGTATCACCTTGATTCAAAAAATGATTCAAGTTTTTCAAATCATTGATCTAAAATAATTTTAATACCACATTAAAACAATCACTGAAAAATTAATCTGCGCAATAAGAAAGTTAAATTTATTTTTACTTTTTGGGAAAAAAAGATGTTTAAGTTTAGTTTTCCTCATATTGCTGATCTGATTCGTGATTCGATTTGATTTTCAAATCATAACCTGTAATGATGTAGTTTATAATAACAATTTAACAAAGGCCTCAAATTTCATTACCAGTGTTTTTATCTAAAATCCAAGAAGTTTTATAATGAGATCTATGCTCATGCTGCTAGACAGCCTTGTTGCTCCTAGCTTCAATTTGACAGGGCAAAAAGGAAAACAAGCATTTAAAACAAACTTCATTTAGTTCTTTGTAGTAAGTATAAGTTTGGTTTATTTACTTTTGTAAAGCTTATAACTCTACAGAATATAGACGTTATGAATTTTGTAAGAGTAATGCTAATAAGAGCTTGGGAAGGAGCATGGGAAGTAGAGTGTTTTAAACGAAAACCATACTGGCGGCCATATAAGCACTTAGAATTATCAAGAAAGTGGTAGATACTAGAATACATTAATTTTTCAAGAATTTTACTGATATTAGATAATAATGATATTGGTCTGTAGTTATTACAGTCAAGTCTTGAGCCCTTTTTAAGAATTGGTTTAACAGATGCTGTTTTGAAAATGTTAGGAAATATACCTGAAACGAATGAGAGGTTAAATAGTTTAGTTTAGTAATGGAGAAATATCCCAAGCAAGAAATTTAAGAACAAAGGTTGGAATGCTGTATTGACCAGAAGCCTTGCCATAATTTAGAGAAAGAATAATAGATAAAATTTCATTTTCATAGTAGGTTTAATGAATGTAGATTCAGAGTTTGGTGTTTTTAAATAGTTATGGAAGTTAGTATGGGATGAGTGAATGTTTTTTTGTAATTCGTCAGGTATTGAAATGAATAAAGAGTTGAATTTTGTCGATATTTTTTTTGGATCATGTATAATGGTGTTATTTGAAGATATACAAGGTGGGTATGAGATATCTTCCGAACAAATATTCAAAAGCTTTCTAATGCCCTTCCACGTAGCCCTGAAATTATTGCTGTTAGAAGAAAAATAATTTGAAAAATGGTTTTTTTTGCTGCGTCGAATAAGTGTTACATGTAAATTCCTATAGGTTTTGTAAGTTTTTTTCTAGAGTTAGTTTAATAATTAGATTTTTTGTTTTGAGAAACTTTTTAAATATCATATTACGTTTTTTTATTGAGGTCAAGATTGCTGGAGTAATCCATGGTTTAAGGCTCCGAGTTAAGCCACGATTACTTAGTTTTTTTAGTGGTGCGTGTTTGTCTAAAAGAGAGTTAAAGCTACGGAAAAAGTCTTCACATAATTTGTTTTTATTATCATTAAAAAAAATAATTTCTTTATCCCAGTTTATCTGTAAGAAATCGTTTTTGAATTGATTACTATCAAGTTTCTTGAAATTTCGAAGGAAAATATTGCTATTACAAAAATAATTTTTTTTTTGCTTTTAAAAGATGGATAAATTAGAAACTAAGGCAAATGATCCGATATTCTGATAGTTAGATTGCCGGAGAAAATATCTTTAGAAATTGAGTTAGAAAATATATTATCAAATAAAGTTCTTGAGTGATTTGTAATTCTTGTCGGTAAAGATATAAAAGGAAGAAAGTTGTTAGAGGCAAATGGTGTTTAAATACTCCGCAGTAGAACTATCTGAGTTTGCTTTAATAAGATCTATATTAAAGTCACCCATTAAAAAGATGGTTTTATTCTTCTCAAGAGAAAGTTTTTCAAAAAAAACAGCTAGATATGAATAATTAAATTCATCAATATCCATATTAGGATGGCGATAGATACATCCTACTATAATATTAGATTTTTTAGAGAAGATGATTTCAACAAACACTGACTCTAGGAATTGGGGTTTATAGATAAGTAAATCATTTCTAGGTTTATAAATTAGTTTTTCAGAAATATAAATTAAAGCTCCTCCAAATGATGTTTCGGTTGGAGTATGTTCATAAACATATCCATTAAGATTTAAAGGAACTGTCGGTAGTAAATCACATTTCAGCTTGGAGTCCGTTTTTCCGATAACGCTGAATTTATAACTAATTAGATGAAGAAGTGAACTTAATTCATCAAAATGTTCAACTAATGAAGCAATGTTCAAATAAAGAAGAGAAAAACAATTATTTGTAATTTTTGAAGAGTTAAAATTTTTAATATCTATATATTTACAATTAATTGGATTGTCAACTACGTTCATATCATCATCGTCGTTATTATTTAGTTATTATTTAAGTTATTATTTAAGAGAAAAAGTTATTAAGTTGATTGAAAATATTAGATTTTAGAGAGGTAGGAAAGAGTGAAAGGTCATTTGGGAATTCATTGAGATGTAGTATACTATCAATTGACGATTGAAGACGAAGCTCATTGTCCGATATAGAACAAAAAGGAAAGATACTAATGTGGCATTTATACAAAGCCAAAAATTGATGGAAGAGTTTATTGATGATCTAAAATCAATTTTATCCAGAGAACATTTATTATGGAATGAATTTAAACAGTGTTTACATTGAAACGAAAGATGATTAGTACGAATACGTTTATTACAAACTTTACAAAGTTGAGACATTATAGTAGAAATTCGTTTATAAAGTAAGCTATAGATATAAATAAGATTATTAGTAACTTAAACAACAATAAAATAGCAATAGAGAATATACTAAAATATAAAAATGACGATAATTAAGATAATAATATTGGCAATACGAATACAAATAAATACTAATAATAAAATAATGAATACAAGAATAATAATCACGACAATAATAACAATAGTGACAGTAATACAAATAGCAGCAGTAGCAATATGTAATAAAAATAAAAATATGAATACTGTAATTATAATCAACGCTCAATAATAAAAAGTACGATAATAAAACTAATAATAAAATAATATATAATATGTATAAGTAAAAAATATATAAGTAAAAAAAAGAAAAGGAAACGTATAAGCTAAAAAAGAAAAAAAAAGAAAAAAAAAGTTAAAGTAAATACAATACAATTTCGAAAAATAATGCTTTTTAAACTTCTTTCCAACTTTAAACTTCTATCTTTCAAACTTTAAACTTCCTACAGACTTTCTTTCAGACGTGATTTTTCTTTCAAATGATTTTAAAAGTTAATAACAAAAAAAGTTCTTTTTAAAATTTCGAATTTCTTTAATACTTTTTGTTTCTTTATAGTAGGTATTTCGCCGCTCAAATTCTTATCACTTTTTTAAATTTATATTATTGGCATTAATATCAAATACCTTAATCTTCAATTAAATTTATAAATTCTCTTTTTTTATTCAAATAATTTGCTGCTTTTTTCTTTTTTTCTTTTTTCTTTTCTTTTTTTTTCCTTTCTTTTTTTTTATTATCCGTTACACATCCGCCATCCGCGAAAACCTTGCAACGAACGTGAAAACCTTGTAACGAATGATGCTGTAAATGATGCTGAAAACCTTGTAACGAACTAGATGCTGTTTATCTAACCCCGTCAGAAAACTTGGACAAATTTGTTTGACAACATTATTTAGTAAATTTAGACAAATTTGTTTAACATTATTTTTTTAATTTAAAAATAAATAATTCAAGTTAAATCCTTTATTGTTGTTTTCGCGTTTCTTGTTATTTCCAAGACTTTAAGGCAGGGGTTAAATGGAAAGTTATCACGAGACACGTGATAATTTTCCATTTAACACGAGAAAGTTATAACGAGATTTTATTTTTTGCAGGCTCCTTTGTTTTCAAAGTTCTCTAGTCGTAACCGTACGGGCACCATATGTGTAATTTAAATGGACTGCGTAAGGGAACATTATGGATTTTCAGCGGGAAAACCGTATGGGACCCGTGCGGAACCCATTTGCATCTCCCGCTGGGTTAGCAACGGGTTGCCCATTAGGGTCCCGTATCAAATCCTATTTGGGGCTTATATGGTAGTCATATTTGTTGGATGGTTGGGTAGGATGTATGCTGCAAACTTACGTTTTAGTATGTATTACGTACTAAAACATACAAGTACGTTTTAGTATGTATTACTATAGGGAGGGGGGGTCAAAAATTCTTTATTTCTTGTTTAACCAGTTATTCTTCATTAATTTTTTGAGAAAAGTTCAAAAAACAATTCAGTTTTTGCTAATTTTTTATCGTTGACCTTCTACTTCTATTTTAAAAATTTAAAGATAAAAAAAAAAAGTCTTTGCAAAAGTTTCTTTGCGTATAAAGTTACGCAACTTTTCTTTCAAATTTATCCTGATTGGATAAATTTGATTTTTAATCGTTGCGTTTTAAAAAACGTTTCAAGTAATAAAAAAGACACATTGCTTCAAA